TAACAAGTGGCTTTCATATGTATATGCATTGATGTCAGCTAGGATGATCCTTGTCATGTACTTGTAGTAAATAAAAAAGTATATTTTATTATTATAGTGTTATTCGTGATGGTGAAGGACGGGCTCTTTAATCCAAGGGGCCCGGCCTGGTAGGTAATGCTCTCGCTTCACACGGGGTGTCCCTGATTCCAACTCGGCAAGGGTGGAAAAAGGAACTCCAGGTATTGGGCAGTTTCTTACACTTCTTGTCCCAATTTACCTAGCAAGTAATAGGTACCTGGGTGTTATCGATGGGGTGGGTTTCATCCTGGGGGACAAGCTTGAGGGCCCCATGGAAAAAACATCCCTTGATGACAAACACCTTTTGGTTATCCTGGGTGGCTAACCCCCAGAGTTTAAAAAACCGAAAAAAATCTTTAAAGGGGTCCCAACCTGTTCCCCTTCCCCTTTGGATCAAAACCCGATTACCTCGCATCCCACCTCACACTGAAGGACTGGGGATTAGCCCCCACAGGTGGAAACTTTCTTTTTCCCCTTTACCGCTCCCCTTTCTCCCAAGCAGTAAGTAGGGGTGGTGTGGGTTCATTTGTGGGGGGAGAAAATTAAGGCCCAGTGGCAGTAAGAAACCTTTTGCACAGACTTTTTTCAAGATTCTGGGTCACTGTCTCTTGAGGTGAGATTTTTAACAAAATCTTCTTTTTTACATGTTGATAGTTACCAAATATCGGCAGAAAACCCTTTACCTGGGGGGTTTCGGGGGGCAACGCCCCCCACGGCCCGGGCTGGACCAGGGTTTATGGTGGGCATGGTGTGATCAACCCGGCCCGTTACGCGGCCGCACGCAAATGACATCAAACCACGCCGGTTGGTCGGGACTGACTTTAGGTGTGTCCATGCCCTTTTTAAGACAGCCGGGGTTATTTGGGAATCCCCCCTTTTTATGGGGAGGCAGTTGAACGTCTTTGGGGTCAGACATTATAAGTTTTTCTCAGTGTACTTCGGGCGCCCCGCTTTTTTATCGGGGAATGTTGCATTTCTGCTGAGTCTTTTGCTTTATAGGGATTTTTGGTGAGGTTTGGTGTAAACCCTTTCCCGGGCTTCCAAAAATATATTTTCATGTACCCCTCGCCTGCTTCAGGGGAAAGAAAGAAGGACCTTCAACCTTCCCTAGTTTTGGGGGCCTTATCGTGTTATGTTGCAGTGAAAATTTTTTGTACACTCTCCAGGGCTCATGTTGCCCGCCTTTAAGGGGGCAATTAGTGTACACATATTCTAGCCCAAAAGGGACAAGTGATTTTAAGAAATCATCATGGGTTGGCATCCCAGTTTTTAAGGGCTCATTATCCCCTTTTATCTTTTTAGCAGATGAGGTAGAACTTGTTGTGGGTCTTTAAAAAGGGGAGTCCTCTGACATTTTCATTCCCCGGTCCTTTACATTACTTTCCGCTCTTTTTAAAGGTTTGAATTTGTTGTATACCCTGACACATTTTTAAATTTTTTAAATTTCCCCTACTGGTAGTTGAAATTTTCCCCGTTGCTTCATAGTTTTTGGTGGCCCATTCGAAGATTTGGTTGATGTCCGCTTGGAGTCTCGCGGTGTCTTTGATGGAGGTCACTGCCATCGTAATCCCGGTGTCATCTGTCTGTCAGAAATGAAGATGAGGAATAGAATGGGAGTGAGTACTGTGCCTTGTGGAACAGCTTTTTACCGTGGCCGCCTGGGACTTTACTCTGTTTACTATTACTCTGTGTTCTATTTGTCGGGAAGTTTTAGATGTATCTACCAACTTTTCCTATTATTCCTTTATCACGCATTTTGTGTGCTATTACACTGTGGTCACACATGTCGAAAGCTTTGGCAAAGGTTGTGTATACTACATCTGTATTTTGTTTATCCTCTACAGCATTCAGGACCTTGTCATAGTGGTCCAGTAGCTGGGACAGGCAGGAGCGACCTGCTTTAAACCCGTGTTGCCCTGGGTTGTGTAATTGATGGGTATCTAGGTGATTGGCATTACCTTTTATAATGTATACATCCTAGCAGACCATGACAGTAAGAAAGTATTTCATGTGCAGATTGTTGTTTTAGGTATTATTCACAAAAATAGCATCCTAATTTTGGTTGTGCAAGCAAGTCTGGGCTGCTCAGTGCTTAATATTGAGTTATCATACCCCCAGCCGAATGTGAGTAAAAATGCATATCTAATGATGGAGAAGTAAGGTTAAGTTGTGTTAGGATATTTTAGGCTTGGTTATGTTTTTTACCCTTTGCATAACAAATTATCTCGACTGTAAAACCAACTTAATATTTTACATTTCAAACTATAATTAATAGCTGAAATGAGCTGAGTATTAGTCTTCTAATTTTACCAAAATTGCTTATAACTTACATGTAAGAAATTTATTTTTAAGTTTTAAAATAAAAAAATATATACCTACTGTAATTATTGTAGATATACAAAGAATGACATTTTTGATAATCTAGAGGATATATAGGTAGCTCATGGCTCATTGATGACACTTAGCCAGTGTGCTAAAATAATGTATAATAGACAGACAATGCAGTACAATATTGGGTTGTACTGCAGTTGTTTCCTGAATAAAGCAGAAAACACTACAGTAGGATCCTCATCCACAGGGGATACGTTCCAAGGATCTGCTGTGGATACCGAAACCGCAGATAATAGCAGTCCCTATATATAAGTCCTATACATACCTATTATAAAGTTTAATTGATAAATTATGCATAAGAACTAGAGAATTATCACTTTTTCACTGATGGGAAGCACTTCATCGCTTCTCTTAAGCTTTGAAGAACTGCTTCTCTACTTTTGTGCTTTGGGGCCATTATTATGCAAAATTAAGAAGTATTTTTGAGCCAAAGTCAACTGTGGATAACTGAAACTGTGGATACCAAATCAATGGATACGGGGATTCTACTGTATATTAAAAATATATACACATTTTTTTCTCCAACATACCAGCCATATCCCTCCGAGGCAGGGTGACCCAAAAAAGAAACATTCACCATCATTCACACGTAATCACTGTCTTAGCAGAGTTGCTCAGATACCACAGTTTAACCCTTTGACTGTCGCAGGCTCCTTTCTGAAACTGTCATTCTATGTCGATAAATTTAAAAAAAAAAATTATTTTTTCTTATGAAATGGTAGAGAATTTTTTTCCCGATGGTAATGACACCAAAAGTATGAAATTTGGTCGAAAACTCGCGGAATTATGCTCCCACGAAGTTAGCGGTCTCGGTGACATATACGCATCGGCAATTTCCTCAACTTTCAGCCCTGTTTTTGGCCAATTCCGTTGTTCCAGTTGACCAAACTCATAGCTATGTCTTTAGAACTCCATTTTTTCTATCAGTCGAGTACAAGAAACTGCCCATTTACCGATTTGAACTACCCAGTAAAGTGGTCAGAAATTGGCAATTTGGCCAATTTCACACAAATTAAAAAAGATGCCAATTTCAAAATAGGGTCCAGAATAAACAATGTAGATATTCTTGGCACTAAAATAACATATCCTCTGTTTATTAGTCACGTCTCTAGGCCCCTCTTATATTACTATTGGTTTCTATTTTAATTTTTTATTCATACAAAAAATACAAAATTTGCTGTTATGCAGACTAATGCATTATTGTAAAAATGGTATAAATAATATCAATGCACTAGTGAAAGAATATTAGACTCCCCAGTTGAAATGTATTGGACGTGTGGTGTGATTTGCTTACTCCTGAACATTGGTAAAAATCGAACATTTCCTCAATTTCAAGGTCATTTTCATAGTGAAAGTAATCAAAATCATCTCTATTTCTGTAATATGTTTTCCATTTTATCAGGCGAGACCATGAAAACGAGAATACAACGATAAATACTACGTGAAAATACACCTCAAAGTTGGTGTTTTAATCCAAAAAAACGGTAAGTTTTTTTTTCTCATTATGCACTGCGTGCTGCAGGATTTTTTTTATGTGGTGCACACTGACCACACAGACCCATTCTCTCACATGTGGGCCTTCAGCTTTCTCCCGCTTGATTTGAAGCCGCTAGAATTTACGCATATAAATACGTCAGAAACAGTGGCACATAAGATGTATATATATGACCGAAACAGTCAAAGGGTTGAATGTCACACAAAATAGCCAATATCCCAAACCCCTCCTTTAAAGTGCAGGCATCGTACTTCCCATTTCCAGGACTCAAGTCTGGTTAACTGGTTTCCCTGACGCCCTTCACAAAATATTACCCAGCTCACACTCCAACAGATCATCGGGTCCTGAAAACCATTTATTTCCATTCACTCCTATCTAACATGCTCACACATGCCTGCTGCATGTCCAAGCCCCTTACACACACAACCTCATTTACCCCCTCCCTCCATCCTTTCTTAGGATGACCCTTACCCCTCCTCCCCTCCACTACAGATTTATACACTCTCCAAGTCATCCTATTTTGCTCCATCCTCTCTGAATGACCAAATCACCTCAACAACCCCTCTTCATCCCTCTGAATAATACTTTTAGTAACTCCACACCACCTAATTTCCACACCACAAATTCTCTGCATAATATTTACGCCACACATTGCCTTTAGACACGACATCTCCACTGCCTTCAGCCTCCTCACTGCAGCATTTACAACCCATGCTTCACGCCTATATGAGAGTGTTGGTACCACCATACTATTGTACATTCCCTTTTTTGCCTCCATGGATAACTTTTTTTTTGTCTCTGCAGATACCTCAATGCACCACTCTCCTTTTTTCCTTCATCAGTTCTATGGTTAGCCTCGTCCTTCCTAAACCCATCCGCTGACAACTCTACTCCCAAATATCTGAACACATTCACTCCTTCCATACTCCCTCCCTCCAGTGTGATATCCAATTTTTCTTTACCTAACTTGTTTGATACCCTCTCATCACTTTACTCTTATCTGTGTTCACTTATATTGTATTATGTTTTAAATGTCTTTTATAATAATTTTCAGGTCTGAAGCTGAAGCAGTATCAAGTAGATACTTGGACAACCCGTGAACAGTTATGTCTTGCTTCAGCAGTAATGCGTAGTGGTGACCAAAATTGGTAAGTATTGGAAAAAACAGGCTCTTTAGAAATGTGGAGACAGTAGGCCATTAAATGATGTACCAGTTTTGATGACAACATTATGAGGTGCATCTTGGGGATACACCGCATATTACTTGCTTACAGATTTCCTACTGTTTATCTGCCATGGTGAAAACAACTCATCATTCACCATTTAGTTCTCGAAGATTATATTATTATTATTAACACATCGGCCTTCTGCCACCCTGCCTTGGTGGGAGAAGGCCAATATGTTAATAATCATAATAATAATAATAATAATAATAATAATAATATAATCTTTAAGAACTATATGGTGAATGATGAGCTATTTTTACCATGGCAGATAAATGATAGGAAATGTGTAAGGAAGTAATATGAATGATGTAATTGGGTTATATAGCCAGGCAGCTTATGATCATGTTTTCAAAACATAGCTGGTATACTCAACAGGTTTATTCCACTATAATTCTTTTATCCCTTTTTCCTTTATACAGGAACTGTGCATGCTGTCTGTCAATCCCAAGGTACATTTTTTCCTTTCATACAATTACTGAACAAATGCACCAACCACTCAAAAACTATTTGCATCTGTGTATAAAACATTCAGGTGTTTTGTTAGTTTTATAAACTTGGGTGATTAATTTTTCTCTTTTTAATATCCTGTGTAATCTAATTTTATTGTGATTATTTAAAAAATGTAAATGTTCAGCTAGCCAAATTAAAGCTGCCTAGATATCAGATTTCATGATCTCCAGCAAAAAATATTTAGCTCAGGTCGGCCATCGCTAATCCGGCATCATTGGGATGTGTAGTGTACCGGATTAGTGAGTTTGCCGGATTACAGAGTGGCTAGGTTAGAATACACTTAATTAACCCATCAGTAGTGACTTTCTGCTACATCTTCCTCATTTTCATCACTACTTTCTCCTCCACTGGCTTGCTACTGTGGATTTACAACCATCTGCACAATTTATGAGTCAGTATAATGATGAAATTTGACTCGGTATAATGATGAAATTTGAAATTATGCTAGCCGAAATAAGTGCCAGATTACTCATGGAACCAGATAACCGATTGCCGGATTAGTGATGGTCGACCTGTATTGCAAAATCCTCCAGAATATTTGTTGCATTTATTCAGAATGTCTAACTTTTTATTTTATTGTTAAGCTACCTTATTGGTGTTATGTGCTAGAGTATTTACACTGAATTAGAATTATATAGAGAGGGTGAATTAGAGTTAAAAAGATCTCATTATGAATTCATAACTAATGGTTAATATTTTCATGGCAGCATGGTAATCCTGTAGTTCCTGGCAGGAAATAAAAATGCTTAGCTTACCAAGCCTTGTTATATTAATTTTTTTTTTTTTCTCTCGACAAGTCAGCGGTCTCCCACCGAGGCAGGGTGACCCAAAAAAGAAAGAGAATCCCCAAAAAGAAAATACTTTCATCATCATTCAACACTTTCACCACACTCACACATTATCACTGTTTTTGCAGAGGTGCTCAGAATACAACAGTTTAGAAGCATATACGTATAAAGATACACAACATATCCCTCCAAACTGCCAATATCCCAAACCCCTCCTTTAAAGTGCAGGCATTGTACTTCCCATTTCCAGGACTCAAGTCCGACTATATGAAAATAATCGGTTTCCCTGAATCCCTTCACTAAATATTACCCTGCTCACACTCCAACAGATCGTCAGGTCCCAAGTATCATTCGTCTCCATTCACTCCTATCTAACACGCTCATGCATGCTTGCTGGAAGTCCAAGCCCCTCGCCCAGAAAACCTTTACCCCCTCTTTCCAACCCTTTCGAGGATGACCCCTACCCCTCCTTCCTTCCCCTATAGATTTATATGCTTTCCATGTCATTCTACTTTGATCCATTCTCTCTAAATGACCAAACCACCTCAACAACCCCTCTTCTGCCCTCTTACTAATGCTTTTATTTACTCCACACCTTCTCCTAATTTCCACACTCCGAATTTTCTGCATAATATTTACACCACACATTGCCCTTAGACAGGACATCTCCACTGCCTCCAACCGTCTCCTCGCTGCTGCATTTACCACCCAAGCTTCACATCCATATAAGAGTGTTGGTACTACTATACTTTCATACATTCCCTTCTTTGCCTCCATAGATAACGTTTTTTGACTCCACATATACCTCAACGCACCACTCGCCTTTTTTCCCTCATCAATTCTATGATTAACCTCATCCTTCATAAATCCATCTGATGACACGTCAACTCCCAAGTATCTGAAAACATTCACTTCTTCCATACTCCTCCCCAATTTGATATCCAATTTTTCTTCATCTAAATCATTTGATACCCTCATCACCTTACTCTTTTCTATGTTCACTTTCAACTTTCTACCTTTACACACATTCTCAAACTCATCCACTAACCTTTGCAAGTTTTCTTTAGAATCTCCCATAAGCACAGTATCATCAGCAAAAAGTAACTGTGTCAATTCCCATTTTGAATTTGATTCCCCATAATTTAACCCCACCCCTCTCCCGAACACCCTAGCATTCACTTCTTTTACAACCCCATCTATAAATATATTAAACAACCATGGTGACATTACACATCCCTGTCAAAGACCTACTTTTACCGGGAAGTATTTTCCCTCTCTTCTACACACCCTAACCTGAGCCTCACTATCCTCATAAAAGCTCTTTACAGCATTTAGTAACTTACCACCTATTACATATACTTGCAACATCTGCCACATTGCTCCCCTATCCACTCTATCATATGCCTTTTCTAAATCCATAAATGCAATAAAAACTTCCCTACCTTTATCTAAATACTGTTCACATATATGCTTCAATGTAAACACTTGATCTACACATCCCCTACCCACTCTGAATCCTCCCTGCTCATCCGCAATCCTACATTCTGTCTTACCTCTAATTCTTTCAATTATAACCCTACCGTATACTTTTCCTGGTATACTCAGTAAACTTATTCCTTTATAATTTTTACAATCTCTTTTGTCCCCTTTCCCTTTATATAAAGGGACTATACATGCTCTCTGCCAATCCCTAGGTACCTTCCCCTCTTTCATACATTTATTAAACAAAAGTACCAACCACTCCAACACTATATCCCCCCTGCTTTTAACATTTCTGTCATGATCCCATCAGTTCCAGCTGCTTTACCCCCTTTCATTCTACGTAATGCCTCACGTACCTCCACCACACTTACATTCTGCTCTTCTTCACTCCTAAAAGATGGTATACCTCCCTGGCCAGTGCATGAAATTACCGCCTCCCTTTCTTCCTCAACATTTAAAAGTTCCTCAAAATATTCTCGCCATCTACCTAATACCTCCCTTTCCCCATCTACTAATTCCCCTACTCTGTTTTTAACTGACAAATCCATACTTTCCCTAGGCTTTCTTAACTTGTTTAACTCCAAAATTTTTTCTTATTTTCATTAAAATTTCTTGACAGTGCCTCTCCCACTCTATCATCTGCTCTCCTTTTGCACTCTCTCACCACTCTCTTCACCTTTCTTTTACTCTCCATATACTCTGCTCTTCTTATAACACTTCTGCTTTGTAAAAACCTCTCATAAGCTACCTTTTTCTCTTTTATCACACCCTTTACTTCATCATTCCACCAGTCACTCCTCTTTCCTCCTGCCCCCACCCTCCTTTAACCACAAACTTCTGCCCCACATTCTAATACTGCATTTTTAAAACTATTCCAACCCTCTTCAACCCCCCCACTACTCAAACGTAGCTTTATGTTTATATGTGTAGCTCTCCGAACGTAGATCTACTTTCTTTTTTTGCATAAAGAATGTAAAATCAAACATAGATCTACATTCGGAGCGCTATGCATATGAATGTAGATCTACGTTTGGACAGTTTAAGGGTTAAATGCTTTTTCTTTCTTAGGGTTGCAGTGCGACGAAATATTAAGATGTTAACAAATGAAACAAGCCGACCGCCTGATTGGTACTCTACAAAGAATTGTGCGCTACAATATGCTAAACTGCTGGAACGTGTCGATACTCCTAAGAGGAAAAGAGAACGTGGAGACGGAGTGAATGAAACTCCTGGAGAGATTGTTACCAAGATGCTTAGCAAACGTTAGTTGCATTCTTTCTGCTGTTTACAGATTTTAGAGAGATTGTATAGTAATAACACAGGTATATTGTTGAGTCAGCTGGTGTGAGTTCCTAAATGAAAAACCAAACTTCCCAGTGCACACCACTACAGCAGTATATTTTATATTTTAAAATAATTTTTCTTGAAAAGATTCATTTAGTCTTTATTCTTTCCTAACCCGAGTCTCTGCTCATAAAAGCTGTACAACATTTAACAACTAAATACTAGTTGTACCATAGACATTATTTTGAATGTATCTGAATTTGATTTTCAGAACGTATTGAAGAGCTTCGTGCATTGGAAACAGAAGAACGTGCTACATACAACCATCTTAGGCGGGAAATACAGCAACTTGACGCAGGGCTTTTAGACCAGCAACTTGACACATTATGGGAGCAGCTAGTGAAGTAGGTGTAAATTTTAATATTTGGCAGATAAAGATTTAAGTTTTCATAACTTGGTATTGTTTACTTATATAATAACTGCAGTATGTAAAAGTTTGTCACAAGTGCTTCTAAATTCAGTATGTGTATGTAAAGAAATATTCATAGTGTATACACATATACTGATGTTAATTAACCCTTTGACTGTTTTGGTTGTATATATACGTCTTGCGCGCCACTGTTTCGGACATAGTATTTATATGCGTAAATTCTAGCGGCTTCAGATCAAGCAGGAGAAAGCTGGTAGGCCCACATGTGAGAGGATGGGTCTGTGTGGTCAGTGTGCACCACATAAAAAAAATCCTGCAGCATGCAGTGCATAATGAGAAGAAAAAAACTGACCATTTTTTTGGATTAAACTGCCGACTTTGAAGTGTATTTTCGTATAGTATTTATCATTGTATACTCGTTTTCATTGTCACATGTGATAAAATGGAAAACATATTACAGAAATAGAGATGATTTTGATTAGTTTCATGATGAAAACGACCTTGAAATTGAGCTCAAAGTAGCGGAAATGTTTGATTTTTACCAATGTTCGGGAGTAAGCAAATCACACCACACATCTAATACACGTCAACTGGGGAGTCTAATATTCTTTCACTAGTGAACTGATATTATTTATACCATTTTTACAATAATGCAGTAGTCTGAATAACAGTAAATTTTGTATTTTTTGTACGAATAAAAAATCAAAATAGAAAGCAATAGTAATATAAGAGGGGCCTAGAGATGTGACTAATGAACAGAGGATATGTTATTTTAGTGCCAAGAATGTCTATATTGTTTAATCTGGACCATATTTTGAAATTGGCATCTTTTTTAATTTGCATGAAATTGGCCAAATTGCCAATTTCTGACCACTTTATTGGGTAGTTCAAATCGGTAAATGGGCGGTTTCTTGTTCTCAACTGATAGGAAAATTGGAGTTCTAAAGAAATAGCTATGAGTTTGGTCAACTGGAACAACGGAATTGGCCAAAAACAGGGCTCAAAGTCAGCAAAATCGCCGTTGCGTATATGTCGCCAAGACCGCTAACTTCGTGGGATCGTAATTCCGTGAGTTTTCGACCAAATTTCGTACTTTTGTTGTCATTACCATCTGGATAAGATTCTCTATCATTTCATAGAAAAAAAATAATTTTTTTTTTCCAAAAATTTATTGACATAGAATGACAGTTTCAGAAAGAGGCTTGCGACAGTCAAAGGGTTAAGGATGCCTTATAGTCTGTTTGCCAAACCAAATTTTTTTTATGAATCAGGAATTTTGGGATACATAATTTTTTACAGCAGAACTTCAGTTTTTATGAGTATTGATTGATAATAGTCAGCTGGTAGACAGCAATGACCCAAGGAGGTAATACTGTCCTGCCAAATGAGTGAAAAACGGGAGCCTGTAATTGTTTTACACATTGGTAGGATTGCTGGTGTTTTTTTTTTTTTTCATTTCCCTCCTATTTTCCTTCTAGTTCTTGCTTATTTTCTCTCATTTCCTCATGGAAATGAGAGGAAATAAGCCATGATAAGCCATGCGTATCATAAGAGGTGACTAAAATGCTGAGAGCATGGGGTTAGCAACCCCTTCTGTATATAGTATTTCTAAATGTAAAATGAGAGACTTTCATTTCTTCCTTTGGGGACGCCCTGCCTCGGTGGGATATGGCCGGTTTGTTGGTTGAAAGAAGAAGAATGAAAATACAATGGGAGCCACTTTGTCACCCTGAGGAATTTGAAAAATCTAAGGCGGCTACCCAGATACCAAACCTGCACACGAAAATCACTCCCTATGAAAGCAAAAGACTCGGCAGGAGATGCAACATTTCCCCAGTGAAGAGCAGGGGCACAATGAGTAAATTGAGAGCCAACACAATAAGTGTCCGGGGTCCAAGACTGTTCAACTGCCTCCCAGCCTACATAAGGGGGATTACCAATAGACCCCTGGCTGTCTTTAAGAAGGCACTGGACAGGCACGTAAAGTCAGTACCTGACCAACCGGGCTGTGGTTCATACGCCAGCCTGCATGCGGCCAGTAGTAACAGCCTGGTTGATCAAACCCTGATCCAACGCGAGGCCTGGTTTCAGACCGAGCTGTGGGGTTGTTGACCCCCGAAACCTTCTCCGGGTAAACTCCAGGTGGTCACTGATCACTTACTAATTCATAATGTGTATATATGCTTGAATGTTGAGTATTTTAACCCTTTCAGGGTCCGTCCCGTAGATCTACGGCTTTACGTTCAGGGTCCAAACCGTAGATCTACGCCATGAGCTCAGCTCACTCTGATAAACTGTGAGTGGTACATTTGGGCCTAGATATGAGAGAATACATCTATGTGGTATGTGTGCACCACATAAAACAGATCCTGCAGCACACTGTGTATAATGAGAGAAAAAAAATGAAATCATGATTTTTCGATTAAAACAGCAACTTTGCAGTGTTTTTTCGTATGTTTTTTATAGTTGTATTTACGATTTCTTGGTCTCATTTGATAGAATGGAAGACATATTACAGAAATAGAGATGATTTTGATTGGTTTTAGCATTGGAAATGGCTTGAAACTGAGCTCAAAGTAGCGGAAATGTTAAATTTTTGCCGATATTCAAGAGTAAACAAACGACCTCACAAGTCTAATACACGTCAGCTGGTGGGTCTAATATACATTCACAAATATGGTGATGATATTTATACAATTATTACAGTATTGCATAACAGTAAATCTTCTATTTTTTGGTGCGAATAAAAATTCATTGTGAATAAAAAATCAAAATGGAATTTATTTGTAAAGCCTCAAAACATAACTAATAAACAGAGGAAATGTTAGTTTAGTGCCAGGAATGCCTACATTGTTCATTCTGGACCCTATTTTGAAATTGGAATATTTTGAACTTTGTGTTAAATTGGCCAAATTAACAATTTCCGATCACTTTATTTTGTAGTTGAAACAGTTTACTTGGCGATTTCTTGTGCTCAATCGATAGAATAGAAGTAATACTAGTGAAATAGCTAAGAATTTGGTTGATTGGAATAATGTAATTGGCCTAAAATGGGAGTCAAAGTCGGCAAAATCGCCGATTCGTAAATATCGCTGACACATCAAAATTCGCGAGAGCATAATTTCGTCAATTTTCCACCAAATTTCGTACTTTTTGTTTTATTACCTTCACAAAAAGATTCTCTACGATTTCATAAGAAAAAATGACAAATTTTTTTTTTGAAAATTCTTGGACACTGGTGCGTGACTCCAGATTTGGGCCTTGGACCCTGAAAGGGTTAATTAACCCTTTGAGGGTTGACAGGCCCTCTCCGAGACTCGTTCTTAGGGTCGGCCAAATTTAAAAAAAAAAAATAATTTTCTCTTATGAAAAGATAGAGAATCTTTTCCCGATCATAATGACACCAAAAGTTTGAAATTTGATGGAAAACTTGCGGAATTATGCTCTCGCGAAGTTAGCGGTCTCGGCGATGTTTACGCATCGGCGATCTTGCCCACTTTGAGCCCCATTTTCGGCCAATTCCACTGTACTAGTTGACAAAAAACATGAATATTTCGCTAGAACTCCATTTTTTCTATCGAATGAGTGCAAGAAACCACCCATTTATCAATTTCAACTATCCAGTACAGTGGTCAGAATTTAGCAATTTTGCCAATTTCACACAAATTTCAAAAAATGCCAATTTCCGAATAGGGTCCAGAATAAACAAGAAAGACATTCCTGGCACTAAAATGACATTTTCTCTGTTCATTAGTCACGTCTCAAGGCCCCTCTTACATTCTTTTGCTTTCCACTTTGAATTTTTATTCTCACAAAAAATAGAAGATTTACTGTTATGCAGACTACTGCATTAGTGTAAAAAATGGTATAAATAATATTGGCGTACTTGCGAAAGAATATTAAACTCACCAGTTGACGTGTATTGGACGCTTGGCATGATTTGTTTACTTTTGAACTTTGGTAAAAATTGAACATTTCTGCTATTTTGAGCTCAATTTCAAGGTACTTTTCATTGTAAAACCAGTCAAAATCATCTCTATTTCTGTAATATGTCTTCCATTCTATAAAATGAGACCAAGAAAACTAGAATACAACAATAAATACCATACGAAAATACAGTGCAAAGTCGCTGTTTTATTAAAAAAAAACGATCAGTTTTTTTTTTCTCATGCACTGCGTGCTGCAGGATTTTTTTTATACTGTGCACACTGACCACATAGACCCATTCTTTCATATGTAGGCCTACCAGCTTTCTCCTACTAGATTTGAGGGCGCTAGAATTTAGGCGTACTAGTACGTCAAAAACCCTGGGTCGTAAGCCATACTAGTACGGCCGAAACCCTCAAAGGGTTAAACAAGTTTCACATTTTACGTTTTTCAAGTTGGTGATAAATTTTTATGTTTCCACTAAAATAGTGTGGGTCAATGTATGAGAATGCAAAATGGTTACCTGTTATGTTTCACTTATTAGAGAGGCAGAACATGTTTGGCTTAAAATCTGGACACCCTTTTTTTTTTTTTCTATTGTTTATTATAATATACAGTACACTACTGTATAAACATTTTAAATATACTAAAAATGTTATAAATGGTGCAAAGGTGACATTACAACAATATCAAAGATGGTTGACCCAAACCCACTACCATTATAGTATGCTCCTTGCTCAGCGACAGATTCATTTACGGACATGGTCTTAGGAATGGAACTCTGTCGTTAAGCGAGGAGAGGCTGTACTAACAATCCTGTATGTTTGCTCCTTTCAGAAATGAAGCACAGGAAAATATTAGTGCTTCAATTTTTATTTTGTTATTCATGCCTCTAGACAGGAAAACAGTGAACAGGGAGAGGAATTTGGATCACATAATAGATTAATAACAAATTAATATTTAACAGTGCAAGAGTCCTTCTATGCCTATGTATACATGCTTTCACTAGTTTTGTGGCAACTAGCCTGAACATAAAGCTATCTTCACTTGTATTAGGTAGCTCCCACTGATTGTAGGCTGACCCAAGATTAGGTTGGGCAAAGCTAAGCTTCATCACATTACATGACATCAGTTTATCAGAGGCTACACATGCTCCTGTATATACACAAACAGGACAGGGCTTAAACATTCATATCTTTTGCCAAAACTTGGAACTGTACAACAGACTGCTGAGGCACTCGGTGAAAATGTGGAGTGGGTTCATTTTAAATGGGGAGTGCTCTTCTGGAGGTTCATTATCCAGTGTAGCCCTAGATTCAATGAAATTTGGTTAGGAGAAGGCTGAGCTTGCCAAGATTGTCATGTCCCTGTTGAGTTGCTTCACCAGAAGTCCTGAAATTAAACTACTACAATAGGGCCCCGCTTATATGGCAGGTTAGGGTCCAGGCTACCATTGTAAAGTGGAAATCGATGTAAAGCGGAGCTCCATTTTTTCCATGTATAAAAGCACAAAAATGCCAGATAACAAGTTTATGCTAACATATATTAAGTTAACAATAGAACTAGGCATTAAAAACAATAAAAAGTAAAATACATACTCAGTACATTTGTGGTCTTAATGTAGGGTGAGGTAAGTAGTATTTATTGTAGGAAATCAGGTGTGGTAGCTCCCACACATGGTAGCTCCCACCAGCTACCCACACCTAGGAAACTACTACCCTTAGATGCATTGTAAACAAGAGAAAACGTAAAGGAGAGAAACTCCAAGAATGTAAACAAACAAACAAAGGTGTAAGGGGAGTTGCTCGGTCAGAAGAAACTCGTATTAATACTTGTACTTTTTTGAACCAAAAGTACACATTTGCATGAGTTGGTGAAGCATTTACCACACAATGCAAACACTTACATTGTGTAAAAGTTGTCTTCAAGTTAGTACAGTAGAAAAAATAGCTACTAGTGAAGGCATATGTAAGGAATTATTTTCTACAATTACCCCCAGTAATACTATAATGTACACATTTTGTCTGGTGTTGGACTAGTGAAAACGTAATTCTTACCATTGCGCTGACAAGTCACCCGGCATCACCGATTTTGCCCACTTTGACCCCCTTTTTTTTTTTTTTTTTTTTGCCAATTGCATTATTCCAATCGACCAAATTCTTAGTTATTTTGCTAGTGTTACTTCTATTTTATTGATTAAGTGCAAGAAACTGCCCAATCAACTATTTCAACTACTCAGTAAAGTGATCAGAAATTGGTAATCTGGCCAATTTCACACAAAGTTCAAAATATTCCATTTTCAAAATAGGGGCCAGAATAAACAGTGCAGACATTCCTGGCACTAAAATAACATTTCCTCTGCTTATTAGTTATGTTCCCAGGCTTTACAGATGAATTCCATTTTGATTTTTTATTCACATAATTTTTATTCACACCAAAAATTAAAAGATTTACTGTTATGCAATATTGTAGTACAGTGGACCCTTGACTAACGATATTAATTGGTACCTGAGAACGATTATCGTTAGTCGAGTTTTTTAACGTTAGTCGAGGCAACATGTTAGTGTTAACATGTATCATTAGTCGAATTTAACGTTAGTCGATGCCATCGTTGGTCGAGGGTCCACTGTAATTGTATAAATAATATCAGTGCATTCACGAACATGTATTAAACCCACCAGTTGATGTGTATTGGACACGTGACGTCATTTGTTTACTCTTGAACATCTGCAAAAATCGAATATTTCCGCTACTTTCAGCTCAATTTCGAGCTATTTTTAGTACTAAAACCAGTCAAAATCATCTTTATTTCTGTAACATATCTTCCATTTTATTAAATGAGACCAAGAAACCACGAATACAGCCATAAAAACCGTACGATAATACACTGCAAAGTCGTTTTAATCCAAAAACACGGTTTCGTTTTTTCTTTCTCATTATGCACTGCTTGCTGCAGGATTTGTTTTATATGGTGCACAATTACCACATAGATCCATTCTCTCATGTCTAGGCCCAAATATACCGTTCACAGCTTATCTGATGCCTCGAACTTACAATGGGCTCTCTGACCAGTATTCATACCTAAATAATGTATATTAGGGCTGATTTCCTCTATTCTGTTTATTTCAGTATATAGTACACTACTGTATGAACATATAAAAATATACCAGAAATGCTGTAAATGGTGACAAATACGTTTAATGATGTGGCCTTAGGAATGGAACTCTGTCGTTAAGTGAGGAGAGGCTGTACTTGTAACTTGCAGTTTGACCCTCATTTTGTTCTAATAACATTACTATGATAATGGAAGGGAAAGTATTACCTGCAATTTGTGATATTCTTTGTACCATTATAGGCATAAGTTATTTGGGGTCTTTGTACCATTATAAGTTATTGGGGGAAGGATAATAGTGTACTGGTAATAGACTGAGGGTCTCATATATTGCCTTGTTTACACATGTACATCTGTATGTACATGGTAAATTGTTTGGTTAATGTTCTCTGAATTTGACATAAAATAAATATTTCTTTATGAAACTATAAATTTTGTGTTAGTAATGATTATTACTTAATATTCTTGTAGATCTGTGTGTCATTTAGTATTCGTGGATGATCAGCAACCACCTTGGTAGCCATCCTCACTTTCTCAAATTATTAAGGGTGACTGTGGTACCTGCTGGCTTATCAATTTAGACACCTGAAGTTTAATTTCTGCTAAGAACTATTATGCACCAAAAATTCTGGATTAATCTGTCTTGCCACCAGGCTAGTTAGTTCAGTATAATATACAAAAACACATACCATATTGTCAAACTAAGAACAGACCTTTGCTTTAAATAAAATTTTAGTTTGAATGTTCTGTACCTTCTGGGAGCAAGTTAGGGTATTCCAGTGGGATAATAAGCATAAAACTTAATTAAAAATGTGAATATCAGAGAGCATGCTGAAGAGGAGGAAGAAGAACGTCAACACCAGCAATGGCTGAAAGAACGCGAAGAAAAAATAACTGCTATCCAACAGGCTTTGAAGCACCAGGGACCAAAAGGTATAACACCTTATAGCCTCTCTTGCTGCAGGTTTCATGTTTTGAACATAATGCATACAACATTTTCATTTAACATTTTCAGTGTAGATGATATGCCATTTGCATAAATGATATACCATTTGCATATTTCTTTTTTGAAATAATTTTTTTTAACTTTTACCTAGGTCATATGTTAATTTATTCTAAGTTTAAAAAGCTGTTTAAGAAATATTGAACTGGAAAAGTAAAGTAGTTGTCCCATGCTAGAATAATCATTTTAATGGTTCTGTACAACACTTAAAGACCATCACAAAATTTTTATATTGTCTTAAAATCTAATTTTTCATTTTTAATATGTCAGGCTACTTATAGATTTCAGTAATGTTCTGGCAGAAAAATCCTCAGCTTCAAGATATCGTTATGTGGCTATATCTTTAATTTAACCTATTAGTTGATGTGATTTATTTGTGATCTTTTTAATTATTTTTTGTTCACCAGCACCTGTACCACCACATAAGAGGAAACCAAAATCTCAGACAAGTGGTGGGGGCCAAGCTGCCAGCAGGCGGAACAGTGGACTCTCGGAAACCTCCTCAGAAGTTGACAGTGCTCTTGATAGTCCGGATTTGAGTGAAGCAGCATCTGAAAATTTAGTTAGTAACAAGGTTAATATATTCTTTGATGTTCATGTAATTAGTTTGAAGAGGATTTTGCATGGACCCCCAATTATTCCTAAAGGAATTGTCTAGGATATACAATTTGATGGTACTGCACTTGTTCTATAGTATTTTGTTTTCAGCATACACAATATATTTATCATTTAGTCTTTTTATTTGAAATGGGACATTTTGTAGAGGATTCAAAGGCTTTTTATTTTACTTGATATTTAATTGATATTAATTTTCCATAGTGTTTATAGATATGTATTACTGAGTTTCCTGGCCAATACATTACACTGTTTTATATTTAGCTGTTGAATAATAAAAGGTAAGACCATTCAAGATAATAATTCAATTAAAATACAGAATACAGAAAATAAGAGAAAGGCATACTGCACATAGAAATGTTAATGAATACTGCATTTCAGAGAGATCATCTAGTTTATGTAGACAAAAATTTTTTTAAAGTTAGGGTGGCCTGAAGAAAGTGAAAGCATTTCCACTGTCGCTCATTCAATCACTTATTTTACCAGAATCCTGCTAACTTCACAATTCAGATGACCCTACGAACTGCAATATCCCCGCCCCTCCTTCAGAGTACAGCCACTTAACTTCCCACTTACAGGACTAAAGTCCAAGTAACTGGTTTATACTGAATCCCTTCATTAATATTACTTTGCTGTGTCTAATATTAAATTATGCATCTTAACTCAAAACAGTAAGAATAAACTGTATTAATTTTACTGCAATCTATATTTTGCCAATTTGTAAGGTGGGGAGAGAGATTTAATTGTAGAAATATAAATGAATGTAACATTTAAAGTTTTGAGAACTATTGAGAATTTATCTACATGCAACTTAATTATGGTTTTAAGAATTCATTGTACTCTTACACCTTATTGTTTATAAGATTTTAAAAATTGATTTGCAAAATTTTTGAGGAAAAAAGCAAGATTGCTGTTTCAGGTAAGTGGCTTTTTATATAGTGAAACTTCAAACAAGGATGTTTTTATATTGATGTACTGTTTGCATTATTATTATTAATTTCTAGTATCATATGTTACTTTCAAAACTTCTTCAAATCTTAATTTAATTTTAAATTTATATTTTGTTAGTAACTTTATTTTTTTTCTTAGTTTGACATTCAAATACAATATTGGCAGCTTTGGGGAATTTGGCATCAGAAGTCTTCTACAAGTCAAGCGTGTTTTTCATAAGCATGGGTTATAATAAAGGCAGAAATTACTGTTATAAGCTGTGTAGGACTGGTACATATATATTTATTAGTAAAATCTTATGAATGAACATTATAAAATATGTTGTATGTAGTTGTTATAGACTATCATTAAACTCTTTAAGGAAAGAGTTAATGCAGCTATGTTACAAGGCTCAGCACAGCAAGGAAAGGGATGATCTGGACACTTCTCAATTACTCATACATATGGCTTTCTGTTTCTCATGTTCGTTAAGTGATCAGTTTCGGTCTGATATGAAAAGAAATATTTCAGCAATAAAGATACCCAAGTGTTGCACATGTGTCTTATTCATCAACTTGTCAGCACTGTATACAATCAGTAATATGATATTAGTCTAGTATTTAATGTTCTTGAATTAAAAACAGGGTGTCCCATGCAGAATCTTCTCAAAGATTGCTTAAGTATGTGCTTTCTCTGGTTCCTTGATGCCAATGCGAGGGGTCTTGACCAAAGGAATTGGAACTGACCTCCCCTTCCTTGGATTGAACCTGATCGTCTCCCATTTCCTCAGGTGCTATATGACCCTTGTGGGTTCAGCAATACCCCATCACGAATATAATCTGGCACTCCATCCCATTCTCACCTCTGCAACAATTCTCTAATTTCAAAGACACTTTTAGCAGGGAAAATCTTTCTTATACTATGTTTCACCCACAGTGAGGCTTTATCAAACACACACAAATATTCAAAATCACCACCTTGTCAAGCATATAAGCATTCTGAGATTGGATTGGGTGGTAGAGAGGTCGGTGAAGTTGAGTCAGGTGATGCCAAGAGGACAGGTCCTGATCTGAGCATCAGTTCCTAGAGTTTTATGTCAAAGTGTTGATCTTGGACAGTGCATGTGATGAGTTTTGCTAATGTAAACGATCCTGTTTTCCCTGTTGTTTTACTGAAGAGGATAGCTGCCCCCCCCCCCCCACCTAGTGTGCTTTTTCTGATTTCAGTTGTGCTCTTCCCAGTTCTTGAGGTGGGAATACATGCTACAGTGGATCATTCAGGTGTTAATGTTATCCAATTTGCATGCATACCTGTGTTTCTAAAGGTGTGACTGTAAATCTCACGCTGTCTCAGAAATATAGAATTTGTTACATCCCCTGTGTAGTATGCTGTTAATTTCCACTCTGCATGTGGTTTTGTTTAAGTTTGAAATATTGGGAACTTCTTTCTAATTTATTTATTTATTTTTTTTTTTTGTGGCGAGAACTGCTATATCCATGTTGGTTCTGCGTGATGGGATGACCCTGACTTCAGCAAGTCCCATGGGAAGACTCAACCACTAGTCAATGCTAGTCAGTAACTCTAGAAACTTTTGTGTATATGAAGAGCTTGTTGTTCACTGGAATGAACAAGATGGAGTTGAAATTTGTCACTGTAGATAATGAGTGCTTGAAGAAAGAAACTATGATTATGCCTCATTTGGTTTTAAGGTTGGGTGTGAGTAATGTGTTTATTCATTCTTGATACCTGGTTTTCTGTAGACTTTGTTCTTCAGATTGTTACCATCTTTAATGAGTAATACACTCGGGAAATGTAAAGAATTGTCCTTCTCTTCCTCCAAAATGAATTTTACAGATGGCTCAACCCTCCTGGTTGATTTTTTTTTAATTTGAAGAGTTTGAAGCATCATGGTAATATGACTACAAGATCTTCTTTCAACAAACTGGCCGTATCCCACTGGGGCAGGGTGACCCAAAAAGAAAAACAAAAGTTTCTCTTTTTAACTTTAGTAATGCATACAGGAGAAAGGGTTACTAGCCCCTTGCTCATGGCATTTCAGCCACCTCTTATGACACGCATGCCTTACAGAGAAAAAGCCCATAATTATTCTTAACTTATGTCTGCAGTGGTCATTTGCAATGGAGGTTAGGTTGAACCTAACATAGTTCAGTGAAATGAAGTTGTGTGTAGGAAGAGAGATCCAGGTCTAGTGACAGTTGCCTAGAAAGGATTTAACCTGGTCACTGGAGACCTGGGCCAAAAAAAAAAAAAAATGGAATAGGTTGCCTGAGTGTTGTTGGTGTGATTTGTTGATTCTGCCCAATATTTTTGAAAAATATTTGGCTATTATACTTCCTAACTTGTGGGATGCACTACCGAGCCCAAAAGTGATGGGATGTAGAGGATGTATGTTGGTTTTGTTCATTTTTTATTTTGGAAGTCCATAGATGTGTGTGTGATGGAGTTTGTAAGTTGAAAGTAGCAAAGTTTTTCCCTTGTGTTGTTCTTGAAAGGCTCTTTCTGGACTCTGCAAGGAAAATTTTAGTGTGAGTAATGTCTGAGGTGTGATAGTTTTATAAGCGTACTGGTCATTCGGCAGCTCCAACATCTTCGTTTGTTAGGCATTTCTTTTGAAAATGAGGGCACCACTGCCTTTGTAATTGTGGCCGTAATCTGTAGGGCATCGACATAGCACTTGAGGAGGGTGAGTGTCGAGGTCTGCAAGGTTATGGTGAAGATGCCTCATATTTTGTTTTTCCTTTTTTTTTTTTTTCAACGCATTGGTCGTCCCCCACCAAGGCCTCGTATACATCTCTTCAGAGTATGTATGCCTGTGCTTATAGGTGGTGGAATTCATGTGTTTACCTGGTGTCTGGATGTGAGTGGAGAAAACTTTAGCCCCAGGCTTATTTCTATGTACAGTATAGAACTTTCATTGCACACACAAGTACGATAAAGCATCTAAATTACTGGGAACGGTTGAAGTCCCTTGATTTGTATTCCCTGGAATGCAGGCAAGAAAGATACATGATAATATACACTTGGAAAATCCTAGAGGGGTTAGTACCAAACTTGCACATAAAAATCACTCCCTATGAAAGTAAATGTCTTGGAAAATGCAAAATTTCCCAAGGAGAAACGGGTGCCATGAGTACACTAAGAGACAACACAATAAGTGTCAGGGACCCAAGACTGTTCAACTGCCTCCCAACACATACATAAGGGAGACTACCAATAGACCCCTGGCTATCTTCAAGAAGGCACTAGACAGGCACCTGAAGTCAGTGCCTGACCAACCGGGCTGTAGTTCATACGTCAATTTGCGTGCGGCCAGCAGTAGCAGCCTGGTTGATCAGGCCCTGATCCACCACGAGGCCTGGTCGCAGACTGGGCCGCAGGGGCGTTGACCCCTGAAACCCTCTCCAGGTATACTCCAATAGGACCCCATATCCGCAGGGGATTCATTCCAATACCTACTGTGGATACCAGAAACCGTGGATAGTAGTGAACCCTATATACAAGTCGTTTTTCATTTTCGTACATTTTTTTTTTTTTTTTTTTTTTTTTTTTTTTTTTTTTTTTTTTTTTTTTTTTTCAACAAGTCGGCCGTCTCCCACCGAGGCAGGGTGACCCAAAAAAAGAAAGAAAATCCCCAAAAAGAAAATACTTTCATCATCATTCAACACTTTCACCACACTCGCACATTATCACTGTTTTTGCAGAGGTGCTCAGAATACAACAGTCTAGAAGCATACACACATAAAGATACACAACATATCCCTCCAAACTGCCAATATCCCAAACCCCTCCTTTAAAGTGCAGGCATTGTACTTCCCATTTCCAGGACTCAAGTCCGACTATATGAAAATAACCGGTTTCCCTGAATCCCTTCACTAAATATTACCCTGCTCACACTCCAACAGATCGTCAGGTCCCAAGTACCATTCGACTCCATTCACTCCTATCTAACACGCTCACGCACGCTTGCTGGAAGTCCAAGCCCCTTACCCACAAAACCTCCTTTACCCCGTCTCTCCAACCCTTTCGAGGACGACCCCTACCCCGCCTTCCTTCCCCTATAGATTTATATGCTTTCCATGTCATTCTACTTTGATCCATTCTCTCTAAATGACCAAACCACCTCAACAACCCCTCTTCTGCCCTCTGACTAATACTTTTATTAACTCCACACCTTCTCCTAATTTCCACACTCCGAATTTTCTGCATAATATTTACACCACACATTGCCCTTAAACAGGACATCTCCACTGCCTCCAACCTTCTCCTCGCTGCTGCATTTACCACCCAAGCTTCACACCCATATAAGAGTGTTGGTACTACTATACTTTCATACATTCCCTTCTTTGCCTCCATAGATAACGTTTTTTGACTCCACATATACCTCAACGCACCACTCACCTTTTTTCCCTCATCAATTCTATGATTAACCTCATCCTTCATAAATCCATCCGCCGACACGTCAACTCCCAAGTATCTGAAAACATTCACTTCTTCCATACTCCTCCTCCCCAATTTGATATCCAATTTTTCTTTATCTAAATCATTTGACACCCTCATCACCTTACTCTTTTCTATGTTCACTTTCAACTTTTCTACCTTACACACATTCCCAAACTCATCCACTAACCTTTGCAATTTTTCTTTAGAATCTCCCATAAGCACAGTATCATCAGCAAAAAGTAACTGTGTCAATTCCCATTTTGAATTTGATTCCCCATAATTTAATCCCACCCCTCTCCCAAACACCCTAGCATTTACTTCCTTTACAACCCCATCTATAAATATATTAAACAACCATGGTGACATTACACATCCCTGTCTAAGACCTACTTTTACCGGGAAGTAGTCTCCCTCTCTTCTACACACCCTAACCTGAGCCTCACTATTCTCATAAAAACTCTTTACAGCATTTAATAACTTACCACCTATTCCATATACTTGCAACATCTGCCACATTGCTCCTCCATCCACTCTATCATATGCCTTTTCTAAATCCATAAATGCAATAAAAACTTCCCTATCTTTATCTAAATACTGTTCACATATATGCTTCAATGTAAACAACCTGATCTACACATCCCCTACCCACTCTAAAACCTCCTTGCTCATCCGCAATCCTACATTCTGTCTTACCTCTAATTCTTTCAATTATAACCCTACCGTACACTTTTCCTGGTATACTCAGTAAGCTTATTCCTCTATAATTTTTAGTCTCTTTTGTCCCCTTTCCCTTTATATAAAGGGACTATACATGCTCTCTGCCAATCCCTAGGTACCTTCCCCTCTTTCATACATTTATTAAACAAAAGTACCAACCACTCCAACACTATATCCCCCCCTGCTTTTAACATTTCTGTCATGATCCCATCAGTTCCAGCTGCTTTACCCCCTTTCATTTTACGTAATGCCTCACGTACCTCCCCCACACTTACATTCTGCTCTTCTTCACTCCTAAAAGATGGTATACCTCCCTGACCAGTGCATGAAATTACCGCCTCTCTTTCTTCCTTAACATTTAAAAGTTCCTCAAA